GGAGAGGCAAGGAGGTGGGTAGGAGGGTCGAGAACTCGTTAGTTGGACATGATCGATGATCGTAGTATGGGTTGTAGGCCACCTACGGTACCGGTAGGTGCCGACTGGCGTCCAGAATTGACGTGGACGCAAACACAACACAACAACAACAACGTATGGTATACCCAGGTAGAGTTTTTTTTGTGTAACGTTCGGTGTCTGCGTTCTTCAATTAGTTGCTCGCCCTTCTCGCTCTTTCTCGAATAGCCTGCTGCGTCATGTGTATGTCGTTCCCCGTTTAATTGCCATCATTCGCTCGCTCGTCGCTCTCTCCCTCCGTCTCTCTCTCATATACCCGCTGCGTCATGTGTAGCTTGCTCTCTACTGATTGTTATCATTTGTTTGCATTTCTGCCTCTTATACGCGCTACGTCTGTGTGAATCTTGCTCCCTTGCCTCCCTTGATTGGTGGTTATCGTGTTGGAAGGACCGGCTGGACCGTCACCCTCCTCCCGTCGGCACCGACTTCGGGGTCCTTGCGAGACTCGGCTTCTCGGTCAGGTGCGCCACGGCGGAAATGTCTAGTGGGATACCGCGTTTTTGCAATCACGTTTTTTTTTTTTTTTGGGGGGGGGGGGAGTACTTGCACCTACTCGAGACTCGCCGTCGCAAATGTGCCGTACGCTTGTCAATGCTTCATAGGGGATGCTGTGCAGGGGGATCAAAGCATGTTTCTTTTTTCGTGAAAGCTGGCAGCTAACGGCAACAGCTACGTCACTCGGACCTCTCAAGTGATGTTGTCTTACCTTACTACCATCACCAGCCGCGACCACTTGCAAGGCATGGCCAGGCACACCTAACTGAGATGTTCCAGGAATCTGGTTCCCGGCGCGGCGGCAAATCGTGACTGTGCTGAGCTCTCTAGGCTGCTTTTTCTTTGGCCGCAGATCGATGTGCTGCCGCCCTAGAATGTCGTTGGTGGAGTCGCCGCAGTAGCCTTACCTACAACATATACCTCCGAAACATGCGGCAACAATAAATCCTTCTGCAGGTGCTCCAACATCCTGACGAGCCTGCGCCAGTTCGACCAGCCCCTCTTCTCGTGCGAACGGGTTTCCGCCGGGGGCGTTGCCATGGTGGCTTGCGCCAGAGCGCCCCCCCACAGCGGCGGTAGCCTCGCGGGCGTGAAGGTCGTGGTCATCGACGAGAAGGAAGCGGCAGCCGGCAACGCTGCCGCAGCAGCGGCGACCCACGGGAGGCAGCACCCGGCGCCGCGCGAAGTGGCAGGGGAGGGCGGGAGGGGGAAAGTGGCGGTGGTGACTCGTGACCTTCCTCCTAAGGTATGGTGTGGGAGTGCGAATGGTCTCGTCAGGGAGCGTACCGTAGGTTGCATAAAATATCACACCCCCTGGGCAGACTTTCCTAGCCCGATTACTCGGTAGAAAGAGCAGTAGCGGTACCGAAAATGGCGGGGTTGGAACCGTCCGGTCGAGAGCTTTCCGGAAACGTATTATTCGAGTTTGGCATACTAATTCTTGGGGAGTAATCGCGCTTTGAAAAATCGGTCCACGGGGTGTGGTATCTTACGTCATGTAACCTATCGTGTGCGTGCGCGCGGATTTTTCGTAAAGGGATGGAATCATCCTTGACAGAAGTCTAGGGAATGGTACCCTTTTTTGACGGGGATCTCCGCTGTTGTGTTAGAGATAGGTGTTGCGTGTGGTTGGGCGTCATACAGGAGTGTGCATGCTTGGGTGTGTGCGAAAACTCTCTCGGACCGGGCGTTTTTTTTTTGTTTGTTTCAGGGTTACTTTGGAAACCTCGCGGTTCTAAACAAGTATTTTTTAGTTAGACACAGTCGGCTCAATCGTTGAGAGCTTCGGTACCACGTCTCTTCTCTACCAAATCCACTCCAAGACCTACATAACGTGATACCCGTAGTCCGCCCTTCACACGAACGCCCCGCCCTTCCCAGCTCTTGCGATGCGTTCGACAACTAATTTTCGTCACCGCCTCCTCCCCAGCTTCTCCGCCGAACGCAAGCCAAGAAAAGAACGACGTACCCTCACCCGCCCCCACTCTCCCGCCCCCGCATGCCCATCCCTGCCCGGCCGCAAACATGTCAAACACGAAACAGGCGTACCTTGATTTGTCGGTGTGTGTCGAGCGGCCGCGGTTCGAGTTAAGCCCCGCACACACGTACGCTCTCGCCGACCTGGCGAACGCGGCAAAGCTTCTACTTCCTCCCAACCTCTTCCCGCAGGTAGGACACCTACTTGTTGCCGCACATGTACCGCTCCCGTGGTAGGTAGGGTGAGAGGCTGGGCTGGTGGGAGACTGCTCTACAACCGGCCACGATCGTCCGAACGAGGGTATAAAGGTGTCGCGCGTGAGGTCCGGCCCACAAGCTACGTCCCTCGAGAAAGCGTTTCAGAACGAGATGGGTTCAACAGACATGGCTTTCGTATTTAGAAACCCTCTGTCTCCCTGCGTCGTGGGAAATATTCTTGCAGGTGGCGCCTAGAAGCAGGGGGACGGGGACGGGGCGGGACGTGGTGCCCCCCCTGGCATGGTGGGACGCCGGGCGGTGTATGGTTCACGGGAAGTTCGACGTCACTGTTTTCGGAGGTGCGTTAAAGAGGCGTCGCTGTCGGGGGAGGGCGGGGGGGGGACAGGTGTTTGACGCCAGATGGAGGGTTTAGTCTTGTCATTCCCCAATCGAAGGATTTCATGGAGCGTTGTCGCCTCTTCCGAGTTGACGTAGGCAGTAAGTTGAAGGTATTCCCTAACCTAGCGTACGTTTCCGGGAGGGCAACTTTAATAACTTCACACCCCGGCTCCCAGTTTTTTTTCTGTTCTGAGACCCCCTTGCTTTGGATGCCGCTCGACATCAACTTTTCTCTCTGTCTCCGTCTTTCTGTCTGTCTTTCTTTGTCCCTGTTTCTTTCTCTCTCAATCTACCGGGCTCTCCGTCTCTCTCACTCTCTGTCTTTGCCCTCTTTCTCTGTCCTTGCTCTCTCTCGCCCTCTCTCTTTCTCTCTCTCTGTCTCTCTGTCTCTCCCTCTCTCCCTCTCTCGCTCTCCCTCTCTCTCTCCGCAACCATCTTACCATGCCAAAGCCGTCGCCATGCTGGTGGCAAACGCCCAATGCACGCCCCCATCGGCACGCCTCCCATCCCGCGAAACCCTCGCCGCCGCCGCCGCTACCGCCGGCAATATCCCGAAAGCTCCAGCCACTACCGCCCCGGGCGGCGGCAGGCCTGCGGACAAGTCCGGAACCGTTCCCGGGAGCGGTGGCGCGAGCCCAGGGTCGTCTTCGCCGCCGACTTCCTCTGGGCACCGACTATCGTGGAAAGGCGGCGGGGTTTGGCGGAGAGATCGGAAGGGCAGCGGCAGCGGCGGCGTAGGTGTCGACGAGTGCGACAGTTTCGGCAGCATGCGGTCGGCGTCGCCGCCGTTTCCGGAGGTGGTGGGAATCAGCGGCGGTGGGCGGGGACACAGCGGGCCTGTCGGCGTAGGAATGGGGGGCGGCGGGGGAATGAACTCCACCTTCGGGGTCGGCGACAGCGGAACCGGCGGTGCCGGTGGCAAGGGTAGGAGGAGGAGGAGGAGTCGCGGGGGGGAAGGTCTCCAAGAGTTGGAGAAAGGGAAGACGCTGATGGTGACGTGCGTCGTGCTTAGGGTCGGGTGGGCGGGCGCCGGGCGAGTAGCGCTGGAGACGACGGGCTTCGGAGTTGAGGCGTCGCCGCCTCCGGCTCCGGGACTCCCCCCGCTGTTCGAGCTCCCCACGCTGAGGCGAGTAACGGTTGCGTTTGTTTTTTGTGGCGGGTCAGCTGCTGTGTTGGAATAAAGCTGCTTGTCAGCCGTTGGGGACACCTGGTTCGCTAGTGAGGGCGTTGATCTATCTCCCTGTTCACAAAGAAATGGGTTGGCCAATAACGGTTGAACTGGTACGAACAAACGACGCCCGAGAACCCTTTCCCCCCTTCGCTTCCCCCCCCCCCCCCCCCCCCCCCCCCCCCCCCC